AGTGCCCAGTCTAAGGTACAAGTAAATTAATGGTGTACCAGAGTAACTTGTTTTCACCGCCACAATACGACGACAATGACTTTGGTAGCTTCACGTCGGGGAGTCAGAGTTGGCAAGATACTGTTTTTTGGAATGTGCGTGTGTGTGTTTGTGTATGTGTGCGTGTGTGTGTTTATTGGTATATTTGTTAGTGTTTATATGTTTTGTGTGTTTAGGTGATAGTGTTTGTATGTGTATGTATTTGTATTTATGAGTGGTTGGTGTGTTCATGAAGGAGACGTTTATAGCGTGTCGAGGTTCAAGTGTTCAGAGCTGACACTGAACTCCAGGTCGACTAACAAACAATAAACGTCTTCTTTACACACATAAACCCAGATTGTAAAAAAAAGAGGTGATTCGCTGACCTTGAACCCCCTGATATGACCCCTTGGAAGTCTTCACGTATAAACAGTATAGCTATATAAGTATCCTAAGTGCAGTGTTGGAAATGTATCACAGACAGGGCGATTATTTTACTTCTGTGTCTAAGTTTTATATTTATTTGTTTATTTATACATTAATGTTTATTTTCTTTGTAGATTCTGTAACAATATTATTATTATTATTATTGCTAGTGGCTCTGAAATTGTAGTCAGTTGTCGTAATATTTTGGACGTTAAGGAAAGGAAATTCAGGTTTGTAATTTGGTCCATTTTAAAGCTATTTGAGGTCAAGGTTAAAAAAAGTCATCAGAGACAAATGGATTCCCGGTAGCTATTTCATTTAAGATTGATGCATTCCTTCATAAGCCTTTAATTTTCAGTTTATATTGATCAAGGCGACGATTCTCAATGCTTCTTAGGTTTATTATTTCCTCGTAGGTGATGACAGAACACACCACAGAGACTCACTTACGCCAAGGGATAAGATTTAATCACAAAAATGGCATCAGAGTATCCGTGAGACTGTACCGATACCTCCACAAGGCAGGTAGAGATGGCGTTAAGTGAGAGGACAAATTAAACATTGGGAACCTTTGTGATATAGGAACCCCAGTGGCTTTTACTTCTCCACAGTCATTGTAGAATCCTGATGATGCATTTCGATTAGCCCTTAGCATTTTACAACGACCACAAGGGGGGAGGGGGGTAAGGTGACATTATTGTGTTTTGTGGGGAGGAGAAATAGTGCAGGGGTTTTTTTGGCGGGAGGGAGGTGGAAAAATATTATTGTTTTAGGAGAGGGAAGCTATTAAGTTTTTCTTGGGAAAGGAAAATACTGCGGATTTATTTTTTTGGATGTGAGGGGAGATTTTTATTATATTTTTTTTAATGGGAGGGGAAGGAGGGAAAGATTTCGTTTTATTTGTGGAGGGGAAAATAATGAATCTTTACGGGGAAAAAAGAAAACCATTCGTTTTTTAGGGGCGTGGGGAAATATTGCCTTTTCTTGGAGGGTAAAAAATATTGCGTTCTTTAGTAATTGACTTTATTTTTTTTTTACGGGAAAACATTAATAGCAGACTCTTCTGTTTTATAATTTGCTATAGAAAGTTTTCATACAGATTATTTTAAGATTATTTTACAGTATTGACATTCATTGGTCATTTGCATATTATATTTACAGTTTAGTATTTTGTTCAGAGATTATTGTTTGCTATACTGTATATATATTTATAAAGTATATATGTGCATTTACTATTGTTGTAACATATTCAGACTTTATTATTGTGTTATATTAAGGAATTATATATTTTTTATATCTTTACTGATTATTTATTTTTTTAATTAGGATTTTTTTTATATAATTTTAACTTATATTTTTGCTATTTGGGAATTATATCTCTGTTATACTGTATTTAGGTAAAGAAGAAGACAAGTGATAACAAAGATGGTGAATAGGAGGAGTAATAAAGATGGAGATAATAGAGAAGTCGCAATAAAGATGGAAAGAAAGGTAGTGGTGGAGATGGTTAAGGGACTGAGTAAGGTAGTGGAGAAATGGAGGAAGGATAAAGATAATATTAGAGAAAGTAATGAGTAAAAAGAAGGGAGAAAGAAGAAAAATTAAAAAAGACGAAGAGAAGTGGCAATAACAGTGGGTAGAGAAGAAAACCAATAATAAAAGACTGAGAGACAAAGGAAGGAATAAACAGGATGGCGAAAGAGAAGAGCAAAATGAAGATGAGAATAGAAGAAAAGACCCGATACAGATAGAGATGAGAAAAGACGGAGAAAGGAAGACGTGATAAAGATGGAAGAGACAGTACTAAATAACAGGATAATGAGCACAAAGCAGAGGTCAGTTGTAATCAATATCCGGTGACCTTTGGAAGCTGTCTCACTGCTGCCCGGTCCGGTCTTTCCACGCCCTTACCACCCCGTTAGTGTGACCCCAGCCTCGTTAACGTGACCTTCAGTCTCGTTAATATAACCCCAGTCTCGTTAATATAACCCCAGTCTCGTTAGTGTGACCTTCGGCTTCGTTATTGTGACCCCAGTCTCGTTAGTGTGACCCTTCACCTCGTTATTATGACCTCAGGATCGTTAATGTGGCCCTTTACCTCGTTACCGTGACCCCCAGCATCGTTAATGTGAACCCCAGCATCGTTAATGTGAACCCCCTACCTCGTTAATGTGGCCCTTTACCTCTTTAATATGATCCTCTACCTTGTTAATGTGACCCCCAGTATTTTAGCACTGTATTACCCCCACCTCGTTAAAAGGATCCGGGATATAAAAAGATCAGGGAGAATAGCATAAATTTGCCTACCGAGAGAGATCTATTCGGGTATGTCAGTGTTTCGTCCTTGCTAGAAATTAAGTTTAATCCAGTGATTTTGTTTAATTGCCGAGATCACGAAGGCAGTGAGATAATATATAAACGAATGGCTGTTAAACGTCGTAAGATTGTGTGAGAATTTGACGCCTAAAACAATTCTGAACAAGGTTTTATATGGTAAGTTTCTTGTAAATTTGCAAATAGCTTGGCGGAGCTTCTCAGGAGTTTTACCCCCCCCCCCTTATTTTACCTGAAGATTAGACACCCCAACGTATTTCTCCTGGAGATTAGACACCCCAACTTATTTCACCTGAAGATTAAACTACTCAGCGGGGTTAGGTTAGGTTAAGGTAATTTAATGTTAGGTTAAGTTAGTGTCATGGTGTTTAACCTGCAGGTAAAATCCGGTGGGGTGGTTAATCTTCAGGTAATCGGCTTCCTCATTTCTCCTCTTCTCTCTTTCTCCTCTTTGCTTCTCTTTCTCTTCTCTTTTCACCCTCTCCTCTTCTCTTTCTTTCATTTTTCTCTCGTCTTTCTCCTCCTCATTTTCTTTGTATTTGTTCCTCTTTCCTGTTCCTCCTCCCACTCCTCTTCTTTTTTTACCCTTCCTCTATCCACTTTCTCCTCCTCTTCTTTATATCTCTTCCTCTCTCTCCCTCTCATCTTCTTTCTCTCCTCTTTCCGCCTCCTCTTGTTTCTTCCTCTTTATTTCTCCCATTTCTCTTCCTTTCACCTGTTTTGACTTCTCCTGAATCACTTTTAATCCTTCCCCATAGTAACTAAGAGGACCTCCCCTCTTCCTCCTCCCTCCTCCTCCCTCCCTCCTCCCTCCTTCCTCCTCCCTCCTTCCTCCCTCCTCCTCCTCCCTCCCTCCTCCCCTCCCTCCTCCTCCTCCACCCTCGAGCTACCTGTGGTCTTTGGAGGTAGTTAATAAAGTAATTCACTGCCTATTACCTCTTACTAACACTAATTTTGACCTTAATGAGCTTGAGATAGGATGCTCGTGGAAGTCCCGTCGTCACCCGTCTATCTACAACTGAGAGATGGGGTGCTCGTAGGGGAAGACCCGTCGTCACCGTCTATCTACAACTGAGGGGAGATGGGGTGCTCGTAGGGGGAAGACCCGTCGTCACCCGTCTATCTACAACTGAGGGGAGATGGGGTGCTCGTAGGGGGAAGACCCGTCGTCACCCGTCTATCTACAACTGAGGGGAGATGGGGTGCTCGTAGGGGGAAGACCCGTCGTCACCCGTCTATCTACAACTGAGGGGAGATGGGGTGCTCGTCGCCTGGTAATTGTCAACAGTAACTAGAGACCCACGAGCCGTAGTGTCCACTTGGAGCAACAAATGATGGAGTTGGACATAGATTTGAAAGAGATCATCCAGAGACGATTCCTACACAGTTTCAGTAAAATTGAGTACTATTTTTTGTTTTTTTATTATTATTATTTTTTTGTTTTTTTGGGGGGGGGGTATTTTCTGTATCTAGTCATAACAATTATCTTGAATGGCGTACGCTGATGCTGAACACAAGCTAGATAGATAACCACCTATAGAACGCTTCTGGATAAGTACATGAAAACATTATTTTGAGGAATTGAAAGTGTGAAGAATTGAGGAACGAGCTGGCAGACGATGGCCAGCCGACCATACCAGTAGTGTAACCAAGTAGCAAATTAAGCAGCTCTCATTAACGCCTTGGGTACAGGGGGTGTCTCGGTGCTGAATAAAATCGTCCGGCGTTAGCTAATTAAAATATTAAAAGTGGCGTCCCCGTAATGAAGGGGTGAGTGGAGGTAGTCTACTGAGTGGCGAAACATCCCATAAAACGGTCTGCCCAAATTACTATTCACTTCACCTCTAATATACTGTACTAAAACGTAAATGAATTGTTGACATAACTATTATTTTCCTCGTTAATTTATTTTAATATCAGTTAATTACTTCAAAGACATATTTATTACCTATACGTAAGCTAGTCATTATTAGTAGTCAGTACAAGCTAATGATGGCCACTACAAACAGTAATTATTATTATCATCAATATTCAGTGCAGGTAATTATTAATAGTAGTCATTACCTCATGAAGCACTTGATATTATACTTAATATCACCTAACAACATTGGACGTGTAATCAGTATGATATTTTTTCTTCATTATAATTGGTAATGGCAGAGTAATAAACAGAGATATGAATTAGAATGGCCATTATACGCTGGTTAATGCAACATATCTCCTCATTCAGTGTCACAGTCGTTGTAGGTGACCTTTGACCCGAAGCATGATCCTGTGGAGTTCTCAGTGACACATGAGTTACTTGTCTACCTTTAGTGACAGCCATGTTGTGTGTTGTATCTATTCTAATAATATTTGTGGGTTTTTCCTGGTATCGCAGTCATGTGTTAATGTCAACTGTATATGACTGTGCCTGATGTTCCCTCCTCAGCTGGAAGACATTTTACGTTAAATTAAGAGAAACAGTTTTTTACTGTCTCTACCCACAATTGAACGTCTAATTAAAAACATCCACATAACTCGGTCTTGGTAACTTATTTTCCGTTTCTTAGTTTTAACTGTCCCAACTATCGGAAAACTTCATTAAGTCGGTCACTGCGTTCGATTAGAAAAATAAATCACCGAAGCAGTCACCTGATCCGAAAAGATAAACAAGAGTTGGTCGTGTAGTTATAACAACACCTCTCCCCTGTGCACGAGGCTCCTGGGGCGGGCACCATGTTACTCCTTCATGTTTACCTACAACCATCTTCCTCACACATCTCCCGTCTGGTTATATAAGTATTCCCAGAGTCACCTTATAGGCCCCTTACCATGGAAAAACAGCGTCAGCACTAGCGATCACCAACGTCTGACTTTTCACCGCACCCCAAAAATGACATGTTTATGGAAGCAACGCCAGACGAATCTTCGCCCCTCCTCTCTCTGCTTTGTACAGAGGGATGTTATCGTCTTCATAGTGTGGGTGAGAAATTACCGACATATTTTAAACTTGTGTAAAATACTGCCATTAATATTATACATCATACATAGCATAAATCATACCGTACAGTATACATCATACATAGCATAAAACATACCGTACAGTACACCTTCATGCATACAATATTCCACTACATATCATACATACTGCACAATACACATCATAAATACTACAGAACATACGGGAGCGTGTGGGTGTGAGCAGGCGTGGCGTGGGTGTGAGCAGGCGTGGCGCGGACGTGTGGGTGTGAGCAATGCAATCATGAGCATGAGCAGAGCAGGCAGGGCGTGTGTGTGTGAGCAGGCGTGACGCGGGCTGGTGTGAGCAGGCGTGGCGTGAGCAGGCGTGGCGCGGACGTGTGGGAGTGAGCAGGCGTGGCGCGGGCGTGGGTGTGAGCAGGCGTGTGGGTGTGAGCAGGCGTGGCGCGGGCGTGGGTGTGAGCAGGCGGCGGGCGTGAGCGGCGCGGGCGTGGGTGTGAGCAGGTGTGGCGCGGGCGTGTGGGTGTGAGCAGGCGTGGCGCGGGCGTGTGGGTGTGAGCAGGCGTGGCGTGGGTGTGAGCAGGCGTGGCGCGGGCGTGGGTGTGGAGCAGGCGTGATGCGGGCGTGGTGTGAGCAGGCGCGGGCGTGTGGGTGTGAGCAGGCGACGCGGGCTGGTGGGTGGAGCAGGCGTGGCGTGGGTGTGAGCAGGCGTGGCGCGGGTGGGAGTGAGGGTGGCGCGGGCGTGTGGGTGTGAGCAGGCGTGAAGCACGCGGGCGTGTGGGTGAGCAGGCGTGGCGCGGGCGTGTGGGTGTGAGCAGGCGTGGCGCGGGCGTGGGTGTGAGCAGGCAGTGTGGGCAGGCGTGGCGTGCAGGCGCGGGCGTGTGGGTGTGAGCAGGCGTGACGCGGGCGTGTGGGAGTGAGCAGGCGTGGCGTGTGCGTGTGTGGGTGTGGAGCAGGCGTGACGCGGCGTGGGTGGCAGGCGGTGGTGTGAGCAGGTTTGACGCGGGCGTGTGGGTGTGAGCAGGCGTGACGCGGGCGTGTGGGGTGGGCAGGCGTGGCGCGGGCGTGTGGGCAGGCGTGGCGTGTGAGCAGGGCGTGGGCGTGGGTGTGAGCAGGCGACGCGGGCGTGTGGGTGCGGGCGTGGGGGTGTGAGCAGGTGTGGCGGCGTGAGCAGACAGGTGACGCGGGCGTGTGGAGCAGGCGTGACGCGGGCGTGGCGCGGGCGTGTGGGTGTGGGCAGGCGTGGCGTGGGTGTGAGCAGGCGTGGCGCGGACGTGTGGGAGTGAGCAGGCGTTGCGTGGGTGTGAGCAAGCGTGGCGCGGGCGTGTGGTAGAGGGTTAATGAGACCCGCGGATCGTGGTAGGATCACCTGTGGATCAGCAGAGATGGATTTAGGTGACGCCCAAGACGAGGTTAGGGAGGAGTTATGTGTGTTAACTCTGCCCCGTAATGTTGGTGTGGACGGCAGGCGGCTGGATGGAGGGACAGAACCTGGTCGTCTGTCTGTCTGTCTGGTTCTGTCTGTCTGTCTGGTTCTCTGATTGTCTGTCTGTGTATGGTTGTCTGAATGTCTGCCTATGTGGTTCTCTGATTGTCCATCTGTCTGGTTCTCTGATTGTCTGTATGGTTGTCTGAATGTCTGCCTATGTGGTTCTCTGATTGTCCTTCTGTCTGGTTCTCTGATTGTCTATGTCTGGTTCTCTGATTCTCTGTATGGTTGTCTGATTGTCTGCCTATCTGGTTCTCTAATTGTCCACCTGTCTGGTTCTCTGATTGTCTGCCTGTCTGGTTCTCTGATTCTCTACTTGTCTGATTGTGTCTATCTGGTACTCTGATTATCTGCCTGCCTTTCTCTAATCGTCTGTAAATGAAGTCTGGGCGGTGTTAGTGTGGTGTGGCTGTGTGTGTGTGCCTGTCTGTCTGTCTGTCTGTCTGTTTCTTTCTCTGATTGTCTCTATTTCTGATCTTCTGTGTTTCTACGATAATTTGTGTTTATCTGATCATCTGGCTGTCTTTTTCTCTGATCGTCTGTCTGCCTGGTCGTCTGGTTGTTAACGGGTTGCGTTTAAAATGTGTTCCGAACATTCCAGCTTGAAAGAGTAAAATGTTTGTAAAGGTTAAATATATAGAGTAAGAAGCTTATCCACACACACAGCTCCTCTCTCTCTCTCTCTCTCTCTCTCTCTCTCTCTCTCTCTCTCGTCATAAACATAAAGACCAAAATCCGGACGCACGCATGGACGGCTGGACGGACGAACGCACATACGGCTAGACGCACGGTCTGTTGAACTGATAAACACGCCTAGACGAACGCACGCAACAGCTAGACGCACGCACAGACGAGTGGACTGACGCACACACGGCTAGACGAACACACGCGCGGACGGCTAGACGGACGCACGCACGGCTAGACGGACGCACGCACGGCTAGACGGATACACGCACGGCTAGACGGACACACACACGGACAGTTCGACTGACGCACGGACGGCAAGACGGAATGAAAACCTCCATTTGTATCCCCTCCACCCTGGATAACTTTAGACAACTGCGAGGAAAGAGACGTAAACGATCCCCCCTCCTGCTGTGATATGAAACATTTGTATTAACATCACATCAAACATAGAATAATATCTGTTTACGCGGTCCATATCTGTGTGTGTGTGTGGATGTGACTCATATGGACCTCCCTCAAGTGCCAGGACTGTCACTAGGAGGAGGAGGGGGAGGAAGGAAGAGGGGTATTTGGTGAGGAGGAGGAGAAGGAGGAGGGGTATTTGGTGAGGAAGGAACATGGTGTGGGAGGATGGGTACGGTAGGGGTGTGGAGGTGTGTAAATAAATATATATATTATAAAGGATTAAACAAGGATTGCAACTCGTACCCACCAGCCCTCTTATGTTATATACGTGTAACTAAAGACTCACCTGGTCATTTATCCCGGATGTGATTTTAGGTAGAATCGAAATTATGGCAGGTATGGCCTTTTACATTATAGGGAGAGGCGTATTTATTATAGGTATAGCCTTATATGATTATAGGTAAGCCTTATACCGTGATAGATTGTTGCTTTGTATGATTATCGGGTATAGCCTTACTGTATATGACGGTAGGTTAGCCTTATACCGTGATATATTATTGCTTTCTATAATTATAGGTTGGTCTTATGAGGTGATACGTTATTCCTTTTATTATTGTAGCTTAGCCTTATACAGTGATAGGTAATGCCTTATGTAATTATAGGTATGTATTCTTATAATTACAGGTGTAGCCTTAATTTGTGGGTGCGATGGTGGTGTGGTTATCGTCCTGCAGGGCCGGTAGTCTGATAGTTAGGTCCTGGTGTGTTTGTCTCTGTCTGTCTGTATGTGTGTGTGTAGCTGTGTGTGTTTGCGTGTCTGTGTGTGCCTTTGTCTCTCTGTGCATGTATGTGAGTGTGTGTGTGTCTGTCTGTCTGTGTGTCTGTGGCCAGTTTCCATTGTTGCCTTTGTCTCTCTGTGCATGTGTGTGAGTGTGTGTGTGTCTGTCTGTCTGTGTGTCTGTGGCCAGTTTTCATTGTGAGTTAGTAGTATAACCACATCCCCAGAGGCTTGTCGTACGATCCTCGAGGTTCACAAGTATCCAGACAACAGGGAGGGACATGCCGTACCTATCCGGCCTCCACGTGTGTGTGTGTGCTTTATGGGTTCTCGTGGCTGATGTCTTGAGTGACTTGTAAATGGTCTTATAGTGTACTTGGCTTGAATACAGGTTACGTTGTCAACATAAATACTGCCATATGTACTGTACTTACCTTAGTCTGTCACTGTAGAAGATGAAATGTCTCTTTAATACACGTGACTCTATGAACAGGAGATGGAAGAGTGATTGAGATGGTTGGTTTGGTCGTTGTGTCCTGCTGCGGATGTGACAGGAAGTGTGTTGTGACGTCCTGGAGCCGCTGGAGTAAGACAAGGAGGAGAGTTTCACCTTGTGTTATGTATGTGGTTGACAGCTGACTGAAGTTTTGGGTCAGTTAGCCTCTCTTCCGTGTATCCTCTTTTGTCACGGCAGGACCCTTTTACCGCAGTGGAATAGGGTAGGCCCTCCCTTCCTCTTCTACCCCACCTCCACCTCCTCCTTTCCCAGCTTCCTTGTCCTCTCTATCTTGGACGCCAGGCGTGCGGGCGTAGTGTTAGGGAAGGAAAAGGTGCCCTCCGCCCCCACTCTCGCCTTTTTCTCCAGCTTTCCACGCCCTCGTCTACCACTTCAGTAGATGGGCGTGTTACCTAGAGGACATTCTACCCTACACCTTCACGCCTCCTCTACCTTAGTTACCATGCTGGCGGGCGTGCCGATATGATAAGATAGGATACCGTCACTCCGCTTTCTACCACAGTCACCGTAAGGACTTGACGAAGAAGGACCCTATTTCCTACACCTCCTCCCTTCTACGCCTCCGTCTGCCACAATCATCAGGTGGGCTATTGGATTAACAGGCTGGTGGGTTAGCGGTCTGGTGGGTTAGAGGACGGGCGGGGTGGTGGGAGGGCAGCGGGCGTGCCTGTGGGCCAAAGAAGGACATTAGTCATGGAGGATTAGTAAGGTGGGATCCCCTACCTGCCGTGCCCCTATATGATCACCCCCGCCCCGGCCTCCACTGTCCCACTGAAGGTTTTATTTTACACCTCACCGACGCCATTCTCGCTCTGGTCTTTGTCAATTTGCCTAACAAAAAAGAGTGTTAAAGTGATACCGTGACCTGTAGCCCGGAGGAGGGTGTGAGTACCTTGTTTTGATCCTCCAGAGATACTGCGTTTTGTTTGCTAAATGTTGTGTTCATGGATTTGTGAATAACACTTACACGTTTTGACTTAAGTGTCTTTTAATTTATTCTCTGTTGGCCTGTGAATATATTTTTTTTTCGTTATTTGAGGATAAAATTTGGGAGTTTCTGTTCTGATTATTTTTTACGCTGGAGAAAAGCACCACAATGTCATGTTTTTAATTAATTCTGAACATGTCACTCTTACGTTTTTTTTTCCCAAAAACTTTGAAATTTTGTTGTAGATGATTTTTTATTGATTTCAGAATAATTTAAAGGTGATTTATAATAATATATTTTACTGGTTAATTTTGGAACAATATTTGGGAATTAAATTTTAGGCAAGTCCAGCGATTAGGTTTCCTTACCTGACTATACTCCCCTTTTGATACTACTACTACTAATAATAAGGTAATATTAATGATAATGATAGTAATGAATATATTAGTAATAATAATAATTTCAAAATTTGTCAAAAGCAACATCGAAAATACAATAAAGACTCGACCAAAATCTCCTCTATACTTATACTGGAAAATAAAAATATAATATTTTAAAAATACAGGCTGCACCTTCCTCCTCTCTCCCTTATACACTTCCTTAAAAAGTCTGGTGAGCGTCAATTTTCTCTTTTTAACGATAACTTCTGGATATTCTATGAAATGATAGAATGACCGGTGTGTGTTTCTCGCGCCCACACGTACGACCCTTCCCTTCCCTCGATGGTAAGGAGGCGGCGACTGATCTGTTTTGATTCGTCATTCACATCGCCCACAGAGACACAGACGCCTTGAGAGTGTTGTATATGGCACTCCTTACGATGTTTTGAGAGTCATCCCAGGCCACATGAAAGAGACGGAGATAGCCACAGTAGAGATAGATAGACTAAGATAGCTAGTAGGCAGCTATCAAACAGGGAGGCACTACCACCTGGGAAGATATTGGAAGCATAATGTATTGTCTAATGGTAGACCCTGCTGCTATATGGCATCACAAACATTTTCCTAGTCCCAGGTTGTTGATCTGACTTTCTGCCACATTTACACACAATTGTTTCTCTTACTTTGGTAACACAACATACTGTACTGAACACACTGTATATCCTTTCTCACTCTTGATTTATTTATGTATTTTTTCGTATTTATTTGTTTATTATTATTAATATTACCATTTTATTTTTATTGTTTATTATAATTTTTATTGATTATTAATTATTATTATTATTATTGTTATTATTATTATTATTATTATTATTATTATTATTATTATTATTATTATTATTATTATACCCCTCCCCCCGCCAGACCCTGATGTGGGTCAGTGACCTGTGTCCGGGTGGGCTAATGCCCGCAAAAAAAAAAAACGAAAACAAAAAACGATAGATTTAGACAACCACAGACAAAGAGAGAGACAGCCACAGATAAAGATTAAACATATCGATAGACATGAAGAAGCACAGGTACAAAGAGGCATACAGTGATGGACAGATAGACTTATATAGACAGACAGACACACACTGGTAAAGTAAGCTGATAGACAGACACACACTGGTAAAGTAAGCTGATAGACAGACACACACTGGTAAAGTAAGCTGATAGACAGACACACACTGGTAAAGTAAGCTGATAGACAGACACACGGATAAAGTAAGCTGATAGACAGACACACGGATAAAGTAAGCTGATAGACACACATTGATAAACTAAGCTGATAGACAGATACACACACTGCTAAAGTAAGGTGATACACACACACACACTGATTACGGAAGTCGATAGACAGGTGTGGGTGATGAGCAGGTATATCCATTAACGTAAGCCCAACAGGTATATCTCCTCACCTCCGGATTTTCTCCTTCCCTCCCCTACTTTTCCTTCCCCTTACTCCTTTCCCTCCCCCTCTTCCTACACCCCCACCGAGGAAGATAGATTACGCCGATATCCCCTGAGTCGGTGTTTTGGTTGCCCTGGGTCTTGGCTGATCCCCACGTCAACAAGGAACCAATTTACACTTTAAGGGGCAGAGGAATATGGTTGAATTTTGACCCTTATGCAGAGAGGTGAATAGGGGCGTTATCTTTTTTCTTATTCGTGGTCTCATGTGTGGTTTAGCATCTTCTTTGCTCCGTCGGGGAGGATGTAGTTTGGGCAGATAGCAGTGACAGTTTGCGGCCACGCCTCTTTAAGCTAGCTATTGTTAGATGGGTTTGCCCTTATGTGTTTGAGAGGGAGGGAGGGAAGGGGGGGAGTAATGCAATACGTTTATTTATATGGAAAGGAATATTCGATTCATTAGAAAGTCTTTAAATGTTGTGTGCATTTATGTTATGGATATTCGATGCATTTGAAGTTGTAAAATATTCTGTGTAACTTTGGGTCAGTATTCGTGTTTGTTTATAATTGTGTAAAAAAGCCATTGAGGATTTTTTTGTCTGAATATTCGAAGTTAATACTCATTTAGAAGCATTCGAATATTCTCCTTATTTTACAACCTATCAATATTCCATGTATTTATAAGGCAGTGAATATTCAATGCTTTTATATATTTTTTAAATCTTGTCTTTAATCATAACTTTCTTAGAAAAGTCCGAATATTCAGGGTATTTTTTTGTAACTAATGAATAATCGAGGCATAAACCTTTGAATATCCTATGTATTTGATGTCAGTGAAGATACAGACAGCCTCGACAGAACAATATAAACAACCTTTAGACACGTGTTATATATATCATGCGTTTTGGTTATAATGGTCCAGTGAAGCTCTATATGGACTGAACTCTTTTATGTGACCCGGATAACTTTATGTGTTGGTACTGCTATTACTATGGAGATAAGTCCCTATGTGGTGGGATTTATGTTGTTCATGTAAAGTGTCCTTGGAGAAATATTGTAGCCTTTGCTATCTAAACAGTTGGATTGTTAGGTCACGTTAGGTTAGGTTAGGTTAGCTAAGGTTGCGTTTGGTTTGTTTTGTTTTAGTTTAGGTCATGTTTGGTTTAGATTAAGTTAGGATAGGTTAAGCATTGTTTGTTTGTTTTTTGGTTTGGTTTAAGTTAGGTTAGGATGGGTAAGGTATTGTTTTTTTTTTTTAGGTTTGGTTTGCTTAAGTTAGGTTAGGAGAGGATAGGTGAGAGGATAGGTTGATACTAAAAAAAACAAAAAACTTGTTAATACTTAAAAATGTAAAGTTCACAAAGCCAGAGACAATTATCTTTCATTTTAATGTTACCTGCAGTAGTAGACATTAGAGGTGCCCTCTAAAACTTATTAAGCAGTGTGCCGTATGTAGTGTAACATGTTCATGTATGTATACATGTATGTCTGTATATGTATTTAAGTATTCATGAATGTATATGTATGAATAGATGTAGACCTATGTAATGTACGTTAATATGTATTCATTCAAAGATTTCCAGGTACAGCGACCTGGATTTGGGTCCCTAACCCCTTCGTAAGTCGGGGTCTAGCTGTATATAAAACAAAGAAGTCTGTCTGTGTGTTCGCACGAGAATCTCGGAAACTACTTTACCGATCTGTAGTGATGATGGATGATGTTATATGTAGTGATGATGGATGGTGTTATATGTAGTGATGATGGGTGGTGTTATATGTAGTGATGATGGATGGTGTTATATGTAGTGATGATGGATGATGTTATATGTGGTGATGATGGATGGTGTTATATGTAGTGATGATTAGACAATAAAATAATAACAGTTTAATGCTAAAAAAATATACTTTGCTGTACCGTTGTAGTGAAAAACATGGTGGAACTTACATACACCATTAATGAACTATTGATGGAAGAAGAAGTTTTGGGGACTGAACAGCGAGACAATGTGGAGCCTCCCGGAGGGTGGTGTCAAGCGAATGAGCTGCTATATATATATATATATGAAGGAAAAAAGCACACTCGATAACTTCTGTGCAATTCCTCACAGTTCTTCACGTATATATTCTGGGAATGTCAATAGAATTTTGCCACCTGTGACTCCTGTCAAAATCATATCAAGCGAGTTGGAGTGACTGATGAAGCTGCTGCCTCTGATTTGAAATGTTTTTCAAATATATTTGTACATTTTCACTGTAATTCACAATTTCAGGGTTTCAATTAATTCTCTTTTTTTTTCATTTATTTATTCAGTTATCATTCAATTCATTTTCTTTTTGCTCCCAGGTGCCAATGTGTGTGGGTAGGCTAATCCCCTTAAAAAAAACACTATTCGATTGTTTTGGCTTTTTAATTGGCCGCATCATCTCTTTTGTTTTTCACCATCCGAATATTTTGGCTTTGAACGGAACCGCACCCTCTTTCGTTTTTTGCCGTCCGATTCTTCTGGCTTTGTCTGGGACTGCATCCTCCTTCGTTTTTTGCCATATGAGTCTTCTGGCTTTGTCTGGGACTGCATCCTCTTTCGGTTTTTGCCATCTGATTCTTCTGGCTTTGAACGGAACCGCACCCTCTTTCGTTTTTTGCCGTCCGATTCTTCTGGCTTTGAACGGAACCGCACCCTCTT